ACACTTTCATATGCTGCTTGAAAAATGACAGAAAATGAGGCTAGAGGATTTCCACATTTCCTCATGTGTCATCATCACTGTCACAGGAGATATAGTAGAGACATAACAAAGGCTCATACTCAATGAATATGTTTGTATGCATTTTTTTTTAAAGGTAAAGCAATGTCCTAGAACTGCTTTTCCTGTATCTGAGAAGCATCCCTCTTTCATCAGTTACTAGCTACTCCTGAAATCATGCTTGCTTCTTTCTTATTCAAACTAATATTGGATTTACCTAGAATTTGGGGATGACTTTTGGATATGTCCTTGTTGGTAGACCCCATTGCTTCGTATGTTTGTGCCTTATGAACAGATTAATATGTTTTCACTTTACACTATGTTCTAAATACTCTATTCATCATGGAATAATTCAGAAGAATAAGAAGATAGACTATTGTCCTTAAGAATCTTATAATATGTTTTGAGATAAAACTTGTGTGGAAAACTAATTTGAAGAGGAATATAAATAACAGATTTTGTGCTACAAATGTGAATGCTTTTGTGTTACAAAATGAAGCAAAAAGTCTTTGTAGGCTATAAGGGAAGTATTTATAAAGGAAGAGAAAGTTTAACTAAGTCTGGAAGGAATTTTTTTTTTTAATTGGTAGGTGAGCAGTAGAAAGAGCAGAAGATAAGACCAGACTAAGACCTAGAAGTGGAAAATAGGGTGGCCATACAGGAACTCACACCAGAAGGAATTATGAAATGGAAGGTTTGATTCTAGTACAGGTTATCCCCACCACCTGCTCTTTTTTTCTTTCTTTCTTTTCTTTTCTTTTTATTTATTTGTTTATTTATTTTTTGGAGTCAGAGTCTCACCTGTCGCCCAGGTTGGAGTGCAGTGTCTCGCTCACAGCCACCCTAGTGTCAACCTGCTGGGTTCAGGTGATCCTTCCACCTTACCCTTCCAAGTAGCTGAAACTATAGGCGTGTGCTATCAGCTAAATTTTTGATATATTGTGGAGACGAGGTCCTACCAAGTTGTCCAGGCTGAACTCGAACCCCTGGGCTCAGGCAATTCTCTCACCTCAGCCTCCCAAAGTGCTGGGAGAATGGGCTTTCACCACTGCACCTGGCCACCACCTGCTCTTAAGAGTGAAACACCTCATGGAGCTATTAGCAGGACTTATATTAAAATATTCATTAAATAGTCATACAAATAAAACAGCTCATACATTCCTTATATTTGTAGCTTTTATTCACTATAGAACCAAAAGTAATTTATAAATACAATATAAAAATTGATACATCATTCAAATGCGTATTTAATGTAATTTATTCACTGAAATAGGTATCTCCATGAATGCAATATGGGTCACAGACTTCCACATATGTGTGTATGCATAAAACTTTTTGTCTTTTGCACTGTGTGCCATGTGATGAGTCAGTCCCCCCAACACTTTATTCATGTAACTTCAAAACTTTTTATATGTATTACTACATAGGGATGTTGTTTGGTTTTCATTTGACTGGAACGTATCATTAACATATTAAATTCATCTTTGTTTTTCTTAGTGTTTGGAACTTCTAAGGCTTTGAAGATGGTTCAGAATCTATAATAAACACAAATACTAATGACAAGGTTAATCTTCCACATGATTCTAAATACGTTTAATTAATTTATATTGATTACTGTGATAATAAGCACACTAATTTTTTTTAAATCCTTATTTTTAAAAATCTCATTGATCTTTAGAAATGTTTCATGCATTCTAGTTTGAGAAGCACTATGTTAAGCTGTTTGGGGCTCTAGATTGAGAGAGGTAGGATCTGGTTAAATGAGCAATTTTCACCTGCTCAGGCAAGCAATAGAGATTCAGATACATTCTCAGTCAGGAGCATGACCAAAGAAAGTGAGCTTTAAAGAAGAGTAAATTAGTAGCCATTTGTTGCTATAAGTGGAGAAACATGCCACAAGAAAATTAATTGAGGGAATATTGCTATATTTGTTATATATATTTGTTGTATGCTCAGGTGTACAAGGGTTAACAGGTGGAATGGTATAATACAAGGGGGAGACACTTTGATAGGAGTATGGGGGAGTAGTGTTTGAGAGGAGGACATCTGATTCAGTTGTTCAAGATAAGAAGTAACCACCCTTAGTGAAGTCTTTTTAAGCAGAGCCAAGAACAGAGGTCCTGAAACAGTATCAAGCTGGCATGAAAGAAGAAACAGAAAGAAAATTTGAGGGAGTATGTAATGAGATAAGTTCAGAAAACGGTCACACCGTACAAGAATCAAACATTGTGGTGAAGAAATGGTGAAGAGGAAGGGATGTTTAAGAGGGACCCACTGAAGAAATGTTGATAGGATTTGTGATGTATTTGATGTGAGGATATAACGAGAGAGATATACATGATTGATAGTTGAGGACAGGGGAACTAGAAAAGTAATAAAGCATTGTCAGAAATAGGGAAGTTAGTAAATGAGGATGCATTTTGAGTGGGAAGACGCTGAACTGCAGGTATTAAATGATTATGTACATTTCAGTGTTTTTGAATTAATAGGAAACACAAAACAATAGATTAACTGTGTGTTAGAGGTACCATCTTAGGGAAGCTGGCTGAAATAGAAAAATGGAAGTATTAGCAAATGAATGGAAATAAAACATGAGATGAGTGAAGGATGGAAGATTGTGCTTTTCAGGGAACAAAAAATCTGCAGAAGAAACCAAGAAGGGATAAAGACAATAATTAGGACAATATAATGGCATGTACCACACAGGGAGAAAAATGCTGTTTAAGGAGACAGCTCCATCTCTATCAAATGCAGCTACAAATTTTCAAGTAAGAGAGGCTGTGCTTCAGAGTCAGTAGTACCAGAAGCATGATGTAGTCCCAGGTTGCAATACTATAACTGCATGAAGAATGCTAGTGGTGGAAGAGAATTTACACAAAAGCCTGGTCTGAAGTCGTGGTGCAAATGAGCCAAGAAACACCAAGTCTTTTAAGAGTTTGTTGTCTGTGGCAAGTGCTAAGGATCTTCTGAGCAAAATTTACCAGTAGAACAGATTGTTTCTATGTAGCTAAGATGGTTTGGGTTTGAGGGTTTTCCTGGTTCCTCACAGGAAAAGTTCTTGAGTTAATGGCACTAGCATTCTGCATACCAGACAGGGTGTGGCACTGCCAACGCAAGAGAAGTCCCCACAGGGAGCTATGGAGCTTCTTGTCTGCCCAGCTATGTCAGTCTGAAGCTTCTGTAGTTAAAACTTGACATGGCTGAAAACATGCCCTGTCGAAGCCTTATCACTTAAAAATAACATCCCTATTTTTCACTATACCACCAATGCTGTTTTGCCAGATTATCCACAAATTGTCGTGTGTGGACACCTGGGTAATCACTGCAACTTTGGCCATTCCAGGTCTGATCAAAGCTGATGGAGGGTGGGAAGAGCAGGGTCTGGCGGCCCTGACCGGGACCTACTCCTAGGACAAAAACATCCTTACCATTAATGGCCTCTTCTGCCAAAGTGGTTATACTTGTTGCCTCTACATTTCTTTTATGTTGACACAAGTGAATATTGCTTTCATTTTCTTTTTCTCAAAGGGTAAGTCTGCCAGTATACTGTGAGATATCTTTATGCCATTATCATAAGATCCTAGGCCATATGAAAACACGTCAGGTTTTAATTAGAGGGATGTATGGGAAAAGTAAAGCTAACTGTTGATACAACAGTACAAAGTATCCTCACCTATGTGAATTTATTTAATCTTCACAGCAATCCTTCAAGTTATGTCCATTGTTGTGAAGAAAACTAAAGCAAGATATGTATATGAATGCCCTAAATCACACAATTAATAAATGCTGGTGCCAGTATTTGAATCTAGCTTTGCCTAATGTCAAATCATTTACTCATGAATACAACTATTTGTGATAAAATATGAGCTATTCATTGTGCTCTTCTTCCCTAAATTATAAATTTTTATAGAAATAATGTGTATAATTTATTATATTTAAAAAGATATTTGAGCACCAAAGTTATATTAAAACTTAATATTTATTAGACTGTCTGATCCCTTAGAACAGAATCTGCATTGCACTTATTTATTTTTAAGCTCTATTAATGAATATCCCGTGGAAATGTAATAGGTGCTCACCGAATTAATTGTTTTTTTGGTTTTTTTTTTTTTTTGGTAAGGAGAATGTGAAAGTAGCCTAGTTTTCTAAACACAGGTTCTTGTAGAAACATTGGCCACTATAGTCTGGAAGTTACAGTAATCCCTGAAAGAATGTGGAAAGTGATATTTGCTCTGTCCATTGAAAAATATATGTTAAGGGCCGGACGCAGTGGCTCTAGTGTGTAATCCCAGCACTTTGGGAGGCCAAGGCGAGGATTGCCTGAACCCAGGGATTCGAGACCAGCCTGGGCAACTTGGTAAAACCGTGTCTCTACAATAAATAAAAAAAAATTAGTCAGGAGTGGTGGCACACACTTGTGGTTCCAGTTACTTGGAAGGCTGAGGCAGAAAGATCACCTAAGCTCAGCAGGTGGAGGCTATGGTGGCCATGAGCATGCCACTGCACTGCAGCCTGGGCGACAGAGTGAGACTGATTAAAAAAAAAGAAAAGAAAAGAAAAGAAAAAGAAAGAAAAATATATGTTAAATAATGAATATTATAAATCTTCCTTTCACTTTAAATTTGAGTGCTCTACTGAAATGTATTTTTCTAGTGATTAATTGAATCATCAGGGAGAAACCTCTCTCACCTTGCTCTTTATAATTTTGATATGAAATGATCTAAAGGTCATTGCTATAAAGTGGTCTCCATTGTAAATAATTTCAGAATATACACACACATACTGATTTAATTACTTAGCATTTGTGCATATATGACTTTCAGGCTTTTACTATGTGATTATGAAAATGAAAAAAACTCAAGATGGATAGTGGAAAGGGCTACAGGTTGGTGGTTTTTCACCTGCATAATACTTCAATGTAATTTACTTTTTTGTCCTTGCAGGTGAAGACAGATGACAGAGTGGTTAAGATGGACCTTGGTTTACTCTTCCTAAGGTTACGCAAATCAGATGCTGGGACCTACTTTTGCCAGACAGTAGAGCATAGTTTTGTCCATACTGTCCGTAAAATCACCCTGGAGGTAGTGGAAGAGGAGAGAGTCGAGGACATGTTTAACAAAGACTATGAGGAAGACGGGCCTCACAGGATGCCTTGTCCTGCCCAGAGCAGCATCTCACAGGGAGCAAAACCATGGTACAAGGAATTCCTGCAGCTGATTGGATACAGCAACTTCCAGAGAGTGGAAGAATACTGTGAAAAAGTGTGGTGCACAGATAAGAAGAGAAAAAAGCTGAAAATGTCACCCTCCAAGTGGAAGTATGCCAACCCACAGGAAAAGAAGCTGCGTTCGAGACCTGAGCACTACCGCCTGCCCAGGCATGCTGAACTCCTCATGGGATGAAACTGTCTACAGTCTTTGGAAAAATTTATATTTGGACCTCCCTAAAAAAAGGAAAGAATAAGAAACCATTTAACTTCTCTGCATTACTTAAAAGATTTCTGTAATACAGAAATGACTACAAAGGTATTATAATAAATTATTCTACATACTCATTTGACTGAATGAACCTCACATAAAATTAACCAATTTTTAAAATAAGTGCACTGTTTAATGATTTCATGTTATATTTATCAAAAAAGGACCATAGCTGTCATTTTCAGTACTTGGCTGCTTTTCTGTGGCATTTATTACTATTCCCTTGGAAAACTAAGATGATTAGATTATTGAAGAAAAATTAGAGAATTTCATAATCATAGCAAATACAAAAATAAATGTTTTAATCTTTCTGAATGTTTTATTTCCATCACAATGTAATATATGCAGAATATCAGCATATAAGATAGTCTTTAACATTCTCATGTGAACTTTCTGTATTTTTTAAGAATTATTCTATTAATGTTGTCTAAACCATGAGTTTTAAGTAGCAGGTATGTTTTGATTACAGTAAACCATGAAAGAAAAAATGTGGTCACTCCGAGGCTTGTACCCTTCTTAAAGCATCTATTAAACCACCTTTACAATATTTTTGTTGTATAGCAAAAAAGTCCTTAAATTTCATTCCATTGTGCAAAAAATGAAGCTAACTTCTCAGAAAGATATCAAAGGATGTCAAATCAGACAAAGTTATAGTCAGAATTGTAAAGTACTGTAAAAGATGTTTGCTGCCCTCTTGTGATAGCAAAAGTATATTCTCGGACATTTTTTTTTTTTTCCTCTACAGAGATGTTTGTCTAGGAAAAATTTGAAAGCAGATTATCAGTAGATACATGTAGTCCATTTCTGAAGACAACTAATTAAAATAAAAACATGTTGTTCTTATGGCATGCTTTAATATTAAAATGTTATGTTTATAGATAATTTATTATCTCATAAATCAGAAAAGTTTTCTAGCACTGAAGATCTATTAAAGTTTAAACTTTTAAGTGTCTAAATAATCTCTGAAATCTAAGAGATATTATGGAAACATTTTATTTGTGAAAAATATTAAAGTGTTTTGCTCTCAGATAGCAAATTTTCCTCTCTATAATAACAGGCAAATTGTTTCATGAGTTCACTTAACTACTGAGTTGTTCAGAGCGTTTTTACCTTTGCTCTCAAATGTTATCAAATTTTTGTATTTTTGAGAATTTTGTTTCTTAAAGTCTTTCCTTCTCCTATTTTAAATATGTAGCAATTACCTTTCTAAATTATGAATTTTATGAGATGCTTTCATCTAAATAAAAACTGAAAGCAAGTGAATCAAACATAAAAATAATTATGAATATTTATTTAGATGTGATGATAAATAATATTATTTCAGGTTTCAAAATTAGCTTATATGCTATATAATTTAGTGTGGTTTTCTTAATGGCTTCCATTTTCCTTCTAAAATGAACACATATACAAATATTTTAAGAAAATCTTAAAAATTTGTTCAGATAAGCCACCAAATTTCAAAAGATCTAGCAAGTACAAATATATTGGAATCAATATCCTCTGAAAAATCCACTTGCTATTTACCTAAGAATCCACAGGAGGTCATTGCTGCCCACCCATAGTAACTGAACACAGTATGTAGTAAAAGTTATTTTTAAAAACTGTACTTCAGCAAACACCTGTTAACAGTTTTGAGCAATAGAGCCATAAACACAGATCACAGGGGCCTTGACAAAGTTTATGTCTGAAATACTCAAAGTGAACAAAAGATCAATAAAGCACAATTTATTGAAAATATGTTTTCATTACCACATGAGGAAAAAAAAGGTAGGATTTTCTTCTGTATCTGAATTTTTTTTAAAAAAGTAAGGCAGATATGGCATATGTAATTATCATTATAATAGTAATAACATAGACAAGCAGTTAATGATGGTAACAGTAATGTCGCTTGTACAAAATATTTGGTAACTGAAGCAATAAGGCTGAAAAAAATGACTTTTCTATGACAGGAATCTTAGTTATTTGCCTAAATAAGGTGACTATTAACTAGAAAAGAGACATTTACACAAAATACTAAAATTGATTCTGGGAAAATAAAGCTAACCCAAAGAAAGCCTATGAAAATGCTGATTTGAAAGAAACCTGATAAGAAAATTTTGCGGGCTCAGGTCCACAATTTAGGGAGAACTCTAAATTAAAGCACTGTCTGTCTGTTTATGGTAGTAGCTTAAGAGAATTAGAAAAAGCAGAGGGAGGGGAGAGAGAGAAAGAATGTGTGCTCCAGCAGTTTTCAAGGATATGTCCCATGTCCCAAGCATTCATTTCCTCAGTCTCTCTCTCTCCCTTCACATACGCACGCACACACACATCCCCCACATACTTTAAGACAAATCTTCATTGCCTTTTCAAAATACAAACAAATCAACCTATGCTGCTCTGTCCTTCTTAAGAAACATAACACAAAAACATATTCTCAGTCTTTTGCTCTGTCTGGAGTTAGAATTCAAATTCATAAAAATCTTTGGAGAAACGCCCAGGCTTGGAAAATTATAAATGTATTAGTCTTCCTTAGTCTCAGGAAGGGTACATATTTAAGCATCTACATGACCTGGAGGAAATAAGAGTTTGCCTTTGACCTCATCACATTTTCTTTAGACATAAACAGTGAAGAAGAGAAACGATGCCCTCTAGGAACCTGCAGCTGAGAAAAAATTAGAACCACCCACACTAATTTCAAAGGGGCATCTCCACATAGGGTTAGTCTCCTCCTGTCCCTCCCATCTAGTCAGATCTTTTCTATGTTATTATTTGATAAGGGAGAAGACCTGTGAACAGAATGAGCTGACATAAACCAATGTTCACAGTAGTACAATGTCACCTGTTGAGCTAGAGATCCAGATTTGTTGGGAAAAGGGGTTTTGCTTCATGATTTGTGAGGTCTATTGCATGTCTAACTTTCTACACTGCTAATTTTATTATTTTATGTTAATCATTGAATATTTCAGTGCAAAGCTATCAACGAGGAGAAACAGGGATTAAAAAGAGAAATTAACACTAATAAGAACTCTAGAAAAAAGGGAACAGAAAGGGTTTAACTAGTTAGTAAGTGGCAATTCCATATATATTTTAGAGTCTCTTTTCTTTCCAAAATTAGCTAAATATGTAGAATGATTTTTACTGAGTGTTCAATATTTGCTATAGGGTTTAGGGTTTTGTAAATCTTCATAGTGGTTATGAACATTTGTAAAATTTGTAAGATAAAATAAATCATTTTGAGTGTTGGTGTTAAGCATGACACAAACACAGAGCCTGTTGTCCTTAAAAATGAAGTGCACTGTGACTTCTGTAGCCTGACAAATATATTAAGAAAGGTACTTCATAATGTATAGATAGATACTTGAGATCCCAGGAGAAAGCGCTACTCTTCCGATTATAATAAAGAGTCCATGTTTTGGTTCTTACAACAACGTATCACATTGAGCTACATTTTCAAAAAGCACTCATTTTTCAGGCCAACAATGGTTGTATTTGCATCAGATATAAGTAATAGATTTTCCACAAATACTCTGTTGATTGTAGCAGTGTTATTTAAACTAGCATGTTAATTTTTTTTTTTTTCTTGGAAGGACAGCTTTATATTTTGGCTTTCATTATAAATTGAATGTGTTCTGTTTGTGTTTCAGTGGCTTAGTTATAAGCTCAAGCATTATATAAGGGTATTCTCTGTATGGTATCCTTTTATTTGCTAGGCTGGGTCAATAGCAGCATGTACCATATTATTTCTTTTCACTGCTAAAGGCATGAGACTTATCATCATCTAGTGGCAAGCTGTAGGGACCATGTGACAATGTATCTTTGACTTATAACATGGATCTGCCACTATGCACATAATTTGTCTGTACCATTTCTATTTGGTTTAACTTAGATGACAAAGAAATAAATATTCACTAAACTCTCAAGGGCTGTGTGAGTATTTTCTACATTTTTGCCATATGAACTTGATTTTCATATATTACGCCCAAATGTAAACATTCAATGCCACATTCACACCAGTTTTGTAAGAAGTTAGAAAAGAATTCCATTTTCCTTCCTGTGAGATTCATAAGTCAACTTTCTTGAGGAAAAATCCTGTTAACCTCATTACCTGGTGGCAATTGGGTTTACTGATGTCATATCATGTTTCTAAGACCAGCAGCCAGAAGTGCCTTTTAAAGCTTCATCATTCGGATAAGAGATACGAAAAATGAATGCTTTTAGAATGGTAACTAATCAAATGTGTATGATTTTTGTAAGCCTCGAGTTCTATCTTAATGTACCCAATATTTTATTTTCTCTGTTATCTTTATAACACCTTGGGAAGGCCATTTAAAAGAGGTATAGTGTTAAATAACTTTTGGGGGAGAGCTTTGTTTTAGAGACAAATTTCATTGTACCAGTAAGTATTTAGTTACAATGTTTTAAAAGAAGAATTTGGCAGCAGCTCTAGGAGAGTGTCTCTGACAGCTTTATAATGTGAAGATGTCATTAATGGTTATTGTTTATTCAAATTTTAAACTGGTATTAATTTATAATATAGTATATTTTACATATTATACTATATCATAAATATAGTATATTTTATAGTATATAATATGTAATATATATTATATTAATTATAATTAGACTTATTTATAAATAATCTATAAATTATACTATGAAATATAGCATATTGTGCAAAAGAAATAGTTACTTTTGGTGTAGTATTTAATTAATTCATTGAAACAGTTTTTTAGTTACATATCCAGTCTTTAGTAAAGGGAAAGAAGAGATGCAGTTATGGTGACTAGATATGTCTTACTTATTATTCAAAGAAAACAAAATTTACACTTATCTTTTTACTCAAAAACTGAATGCCAGGCACTGCATAAAGTGTATAAATGTTAATAATCTCATTAGTTTATACAGACAAAAGTTAAATTATATTTGCTTTGAAAATGTTTACAGTGTTTATTGGAAAAATCTCAAATCTTCATTTTACTTTATACAACATGACATACAATAAGAGTATAGCTTATAAAATTTATTTCATGTATTTTTAATGCTGTCAAAAGTACAGTTGTCCCCTTGTATATATTGGGGATTGGTTCCAGGACCCCTGTGTGTACCAAAATCAGTGCATTCTCAAGTCCCACAGTCAGCCCTGGAAACTTGCAAATAAGGAAAGTCACCCCTCCATATACACGAGTTTCAATCCTGAAAATTCTGTATGTTCCATTTGTATGTGGTTGGAAAAAAATCCACATATAACTGGGCCCTCACAAATCAAACTCATGTTCTTCAAGGGTCAACTGTACTTCTAATTATGAATCCTGAGACTCTTGGTTAGTTAGGATGGAATTGAGAAGCCATGCTTTGATTCAGAAGAGCTGCATGAATGAAGCAATGATAAGTGAATGGCAGATAAAAATAGAAAATAATTTAACAAAAAAGAAAGAGAACAACAAAGATTAACAACTCTATGGACCAGAAATGCAACAGAAATGCAAAGCAGTGATTGGGCCTGAAGCCATAGGTCTGGGCATGTATCCAGTAGAAAATAGTGGTAGCAGGAAGCCCAGATTCTGTACAATGAGAAGAATACACATGATTCCTGCCAACTGGGGCCTTAGAGCTACTCTTGGCTTGGGGCAGCTGCAGAGGCATGAAATCTTGGTATCGATCCTTGCCTGGAATTTTGCCATTTAGAAGCTGCATGTAATGTCATCTAAGGTTAGGGCACAGACCCATTTTAGGTTCAAAATGGAATTAGCCCCTTGTCTTCCAAATCACCTTACTACTGGAGTCTAGAATAGCAACAGAATCTTTTTCTGGTTTAGTGGCCCTGAGGTGAGGGAGAAGGTGAGAAAGTAGAAGCAAAATTGAAAACTACAGGCAAGATGCAATAGACTGAATTGCTTCACTCCCTCCACCCACAACTCATATGTTGAAGGCCTAACTCCCAGTATGGTAGTATTTGAAAATGGAGTTTTGGAAAGTAATTATGATTAGATGAGGTTATGAGAACGGGACCCTCTTGAAGGAATACGTGACTTTATGGGAAATAAATACAGACACAGCAAGATAATAGAAAAGACACTGTCTGAAGATCAGAAAGAAGACCCTCACCAGGAACCAAATCCACTGACATCTTGAC